GTGTGTGTGTGTGTGTGTGTGTGTGTGTGTGTGTGTGTGTTTGGAGGTGATGGAAAGGTAGCAAGGAATTCAGCAGCTTCACTCTCCCCACCCCACCCTCAATGCACCTTTGACCTTTTTCAGTTGGGAATGAGTAAAAAGTCTAAAGCTAGAAGAGCTGGGAGCAGTAGCAGTAGAAATCTCTTTGGGGTATTTAAGACACTAAGTTTTTCAGCGAATCCAGTGTCTTTATTCCTAAGTAAAGATGGAAATAAAGAGAAAAAAGTTACCGAAACAAACCAGTAGATTGCTCTCCTGACTCCTTTAGATTAATGGTTTCCGGGGACAATTATCTGTCCATAGAGCTTTCTCACACGTAAGGGCCATTGTTTCTCATGAACTTCGTAGGTCTTAGACAGATCTCCCAGCGTCACAGCAACACACAAGTCACCACAGTATGACAGACTGACAGACAAGTGGTGGTACTGGTGGTACTAGCATGCTTGGATCCACAATCAATGCTCATGGAAGTAGCAGTCAAGAGATCAAAAAACTCATTAGATTAGGTAAATCTGCTACACAAGATCTCTTTAAAGGGTAGAAAAGCAAGGATGTTACTTTGAAGACTAAGGTGCACCTGATGAAAGCCATAGAATTTCCCATTACCTCTTGGACACGCTGAGATTGGACACTGAGTAAGTAAAAGTGAAGAAAAATCAATGCACTTGAACTACGTGCTGGCAAAGAATATTGAGAGTACTATGGGTTGCCAAAGGACAAACAAATCTGTCTTGGAGGAAGAACAATCGAATGCTCTTTAGAAGCAAGGACACTGAGACGTTGTCTTGCGTACTTTGGACATGTTATCAAGAGAGATCAGTCTCTGGAGGAGGACATCATGCTTGATAAGTAGAGGGGCAAGGAAAATTTGGAAAGCCCTCGACAAGATGGATTCCGACAGGGCTCCAATAATGGGTTCAAACATAAGAACAGTCATGGGGACAATGCCAGACCAGGCAGTGTTCTGTTCATAGAGTTGATCAGAGTCAGAACTCACTTGATGGTGCCTAACAATAACAACAGCAACAACATTCTCCCCAAAACTCTCAAATGCTTCACTGAAGCCATTTATCTTCGATCTCTTGACTGCTGCTTCCATAAGCATTGATTGTGCTACAAGCAAGATGAAATCCTTGACAACGTCAATCTTTTTTCCATTCATCATGATATGACCTATGGTCCAGTTTGAGGATTCTGGTCTTCTTCACATTGACTCCCAATCCACAGTGAAAGTTGCAATCCTTCATCTTCATCAGCAAGTACTTCAAGTCCGCCTCACTCTCAGCAAGTGAGTTAGTTAATTGTGCCAGCCTGGCCGATAATCACATGTGGGGCTAATTGAAAGGCGGAGGGATAAATGGGTGGTGAGCCTCACGTTTCTAGTTCTCGGGTCTCTTGCTTTGTGATGGTCGCACCAGGATGCAGCTGCCTTAGCAGCTTCCTGCTTCAGCTTGCAAGATTGACTTCCTACAAGACATCCCCAAGGAGAAGCTACATGGACCTATCCTGATGCAGCCCTGGGTGCTGGAGCAGCTGTGTGGAGACCCCTGCTAGTGCTGAGATGCTTGTTCATTCATTGACTCAGCTTTCCTCCTGCAGTCGGCATCATTGCCTCTGTTTTGTGAGGTGGAGGACTTTGTGGACTGGTGTTGGGTTAATGGGTTAATGTTGGACTTGTGGGCTTGGGCAGCATTGGGTTGGGATGTTTTCGTGATGCACATTTTCTTTACATAAAACTCTCTCTTATACATGAGTTGCTGTGGATTTGTTTCTCCAAAGAACCTAGACTAATACAGCAAGCAAAGCTGTGTCATATGAATATTGCAGGCTGTTAATAAGCCTTCCTCCAATCCTGATGCCACACTCTTCTTCATATAAGCCAATTTCTGTGATTGATCAGCACACAGCTTGAATTAATATGGTGAAAGGATAAAACCCTGACCCACACCTTTCTTGATTTAAAATCATTCATTATCCCCTTGTCCTGTTCTCACAACTGCCTCTTGATCCAGGTACAAGTTCTGTGTGAGCATATTGAAGGGTTCCGGAATTCCCATTCTACTCAAGGCTATCCATAGTTTGTTAGCATCCACACAATAGTATGCTGTGCTAGGCCGGGTTATCAAGAGAGATGAGAGACTCATCTATGTATTAGAAAGAGCTTTATTTCAAGAAATAAGTATATATCAAGAAGGCAATCCAGTCCAACTCTTTAAGTCAGTTCCTAGTCCCTCTCCCAACTCACAGAGCCACATGCAAGGATGAGAAAGGTGATACAGAATGCAAGAACATCGCAGGCTGCTGGGTACAGAGTCACATGGATCCAAGGTCTGTGTAAACATGGCAGGGCACTGGCAGCTTTTAGGATCAGTGGCAGAATCCCCGCAAACAGAAAAGCAAACAGGCAGAAAGAGAGGGAGGTTCCGAGTCCTCTCCCAACTCACCCCCTGCTTATATGAAGGCCACACTCCCAAGGAGGAATTATCAGGCTGTAACCTGATTAACAGGTTGGATTGCACCCTTACACTTTCTGGATTCCACCCCTATGCTTGCACACATTTTCATGTTGACATAAAATCATTGAACTACTACATCAGTCTTTGCATTGTCACTGAAACACAAATAAACATCTTTCTGGTTTTCCCTGATTTCATCTAAGATTCATCCTAAGTCAGAAATGGTATCCCTCGCTCCTCTTAGGAATCTGGCCTGACCCTCTGGCAACCCCCTGTCAATGTACTGATGCAACCATTGTTGAATGATCTGCAAAAGTTTACTTGTGTGGGATATCATTAATATTGTTCTATCATTTGAGCATTCTGTTGAGTCACCTTTCTTTGGAATGATTAAAATTATGCAAAACCAATGTCTTCGTCACACATATCTTTTTAGATGTCAGCTTCTCTAAATGGAATATGCAGAAATCAAATTGACTACATCTGTGGGAGGACAAGAGGGAGAAGCTCAGTATCAGCAGCTAAAACCAGGCCAGGGGCTGACTGTGGAACAAACTCTCAATTGCTCATATGTAAGTTCAGGTTGAAATTGAAGAAAATGAAAACAAGCCGAAATATGACCTTGAGTACATCATAGTGACCCTATAGGACAGGTTAGAACTACCCCTGTGATTCTCTAAGACTATTACCCTATAGTCTTAGAGAATATAGAAAGCCCCATCTTTCTCCCAAGGAGTGGCTGGTAGTTTTGAACTGCTGACTGCAGTTAACAGCCCAAAGTGCAACCACTACTCCACCAGAGCTCCTTTCTGGAGAATAGACCTCTTTAACTTGGTCACAGCCTTGATATGATTGAGGGATGCTTCACTTGGGATACGGCCTACTCTTAGTATAAATTGACAGTATATGAGCACTAGCTCACTTCTACTGGATTTGGATCTTGCATCTGGTTTAGGGACCTCTTATTATATCACCTGCTGAAGCCAGGAGCCATTAGCAGACTGCCAACCTTGGATCTATTCAGACCATCTCAGATTCATTCACCTCTGCTTCCACCAGCCTGTGGTCTTCCTGCTTCACCTTCCAGCTTCCTGTTCATTAACACCTACAAGAGTCAAAAGAACCCTTCACCTTACATCTGACCCATAAACTTGAAACAAACTAGACTTCTACAACTGGGTGAGCCATTTCTTGATATGAATCTCTATATATAACAAATACAAGCATCACTGGCTTTGCTTCTCTAGAGAACCTAGTCTAACACACAGCATAGAAATCCACTCTCCAGAATCATTGGTTCAGGTGACCCAGCCAATGCCAATGACACTTTGCAGGTACTACCATAGAAGAGCATCTCATTCGTTACTGTTGTACTTAGGCCCATAATCCTCTGGCCTTCATCATACTACTTTACAAGGCAAAACACAGTCTGAGAACAGACCATCCACAGATGCAGCAAGAAGGGAGAGAGAAAGCGAGAACCTTTCGTCTTAGAGGCAGCCTGATCTAAACATGTGTACACAAGCTCTTCCTGTGGACTTGCCTGTTATGGCAGCCATGAAATGCTGTGTTGTTGCCTCAGTCCTTTGGGGGGGTTGGGTCGCTTGGTGCAGATGGGATCCTTCCTATTAGTCATACAAACCCCCTTAAGTGCAGCACACTAGGCCTCTGCTCACTTCTTCATTCCCATCTCCAAAACTCACTACAGACAATTGTACAATAATGGCTGCTCTGGGATCCTGTGGTCTCATGAACACTTTGCTCGAACAGAATCTTTGTACTCTCCGTTTCATTTGCGCGCAATGCCCTCGCTGCCTTTGTCTGACAGGTTAGTTCAACTCTCAAAGCTCAGCTTAAAAGTCACTTCCTTTGGGAAGTATGGCAAAATATTGAATGATACAGGAAGCACCCGGTATCATCAACCATAAACCTCCTCTGCTGCTGGACTTACAGGGCATCAGAAATAGGCCTTCCTGAGCCTGTGGAAACTAGTGCGCAGGCACAGTAGCCATAGTGAACCCTCGCAAGGTACTGTCTTAAGTACTTCACCGAGAGTAGCTTATGTGGGCCTCACCACAATTCTATACAATAGGCTCAATTATTTTCTCA